AGGAGCACAGATCTAAGATCAGATTACAAAATTCACCTACCCATCATCAGAGAGTAGACGAGCAAGTAATTGTTCTTGAACGAATTGAAGGCCGTGGAGGTGTTGATCCGATCTTTGTTGCTTTTGCTCAGCTCCAACGCCGCCACCACCGCCGCCAGCGCCCCGAACACCATGTAGTAGAATACCTCCATTGTTGCTCTGCTGATAGCACTCAAATGCGAGTAAAAAGTGGGAGTGTTGAAAATGCAATTTCTATAAGGATAGATTTATATACGCAGTTCGATAGAGAGAGAGAGACGTGTTTGCGTGTGTGAGCAAATCTACGCTGCTGTGTGTACTGTCTGTCGCCTGTGAGGATGATGAGATCTGTATGCATTTATTTAAGTCGCTTAACTCGATGCCGACACGTGGGAGAATACGATTCGTTGGATTGGTGTCGGTGGTTTGGGCCCTGGAAGCGGGGTACAAACGGATCTTGGGGGAATGGGTTGTTTGGACTTTGAATACAAGGATTTTTTTTATTCGGTCAAATTTTATTCCTTTCAGATTTTTAATAATTTTAAGAAAAAAGTATTATTGCTATCTAGTTTCATTTTTTGGTATAAATTTTATTGGTATAACTAAAAAAATAAAATAAAATTATTAATAAATAATTGTCAATCGAAATTATTATTCGTTCATTTATACATTTATAACTTCCAATTTACCAATTAATAACTTATTATTGTTGTTATTATTATTACATGATTCTTCCACTGAAAATAATTATTTCTCCTCTTTAACTCACTTATGAATCCAAACGATTTTTTAAAATAATATATATATATATATAATATGTTTTGCCAAAAAAAAATCTCAAGAATGAGATGAAAAGTGAAACAAAAAATTAATCGTGAAAAAAGTTAAGATAAATTTGAGATTATGAATTGATATAAGATATAATGTAACGAATAAAGTTGATGTAACAGAAAATTAATAAAATATTAAATAAATGCATGATAATTAAAAATATATAAGCAAATGAATAATGATTTTTATTTGAAAAAATGTTTTTAATAACTATTTTTATTATTTAATTACATTGGTTAAGATTAAAAAAACAAAGGGAGACTAAACAAATAGTTAATTAAAAAAGATGTAATCAATGGTTGTTCCGAATCAAAAAATAATTTATATCTGAAAAAATGAAAATTTTCGACCTATGAATATCACCGACATTTTGATATGTGGGGCCTTTGATTTTTTTTATATTATTATTATTATGAAAGAAATACTAAAACTTAAAATAGTGCAACTATGAAAATTAGCATGAATTCCTATTTATTATGTTTTTGCTATTTTCATGAACATTGATACTTTTCAACCATACTTAATAAATGTCTCATCACATGGAATGACCATCACAAAATTGGATGAGATTGTGACCTTAATGCTCGTTTTTTCTGCCATAATTTATCCAAGGGAAGGGCCGAAGGGGCCTCTGAATGGCCACAATCACGTCTATTTTAGAAGAAACATGTATGTTGGCTAACCTATGAACGAGATCAATGTGCACATGAACTTGTTTGATAATTAGGTGATAGTGGATATCTAATTGTATTAGCATATTGTTGTTATGCAAATTATGCAACAACAGTTAAGGGAAATCTCTAAGATTAACGATCATTTTAGACATAGATTATTGTATGATTATGGTATAATATTGTAATTGCCGTAATGTGAATAGAACAAGACAATAGTTTAAGTATAAAGAGGTTGGAAGGCCTTATATATTATATAAGAAACAACTCGGATATTGAGATGCGTGTCTCTTTTATAGAGTTTTTGTTAAGAGCATATAATAGCAATAGTAAAATTTGCATCCGTCATCTTTTTGTACAATTATTGTGGGGTATTATATTATGAAACTCACGGGCACAATCTTTGAGGTTGGCATGTTATCGGTATGATTATCATTTAATGCGACGTGATGGATAGGTGCAGAACCGTCAGTGGGTTTCATGTCAGTCGACTACTTGTTTATGGTGTAACTAACACATGTCTTGTCCGCATTTAATGTTCTGTCAGAGTCCGACCTTTATGGAGGATCCGACCGACTCTCTTATGTTTTGAGATCCGAGTGTTATATTGAATGCAATTGATCTCCTTCTTTTTATTTTTTATAGTCCGACTTCTACTCAAGGAGGTCGGATGCTTTAGATTTCATTTCCGTCCGAGCTATTGGAGGAGAAGCTAGTCCAACTAATCTCATCATGATATTTGATACTTAGGAATCGTCATTAAATAACTTAGATGCCATGTGTCGCTTGTTTATACTGACGCCATATCGGATACAATTCATATAGCTGATAGTCGATTATAATAATTGATTTGACCATCGAATTATATTAATTATTTGTAAATAACTGTTTAGTAAATAGCAGATTGTATAACATGTTATATGAATCTTCTATTCTTAAAACGCTTTTGTATTGAGTTTTTTAAAAATTGGCGTGCTAGGCTTAAAAAGTTAATCAAATAAACTTTTTATCAAATAAGTTAAATAACGATTTGACAAATCAAACCTCTCCAAATGAGGTTGAATCCGCTAAATTTATAACAATATGCTAACATTCAAACAAGCTCATGATTTTTAGATACATTAGGCTCATGATTTTTTAGATACATTAGGTAACTAGGTTACTATGCATGGTCTTTTAGATGGCTAGGTAAGACTGAATATATATTTATATTGTTATTTTTTTTTGTTCTCATCTTAAAATAGTGATGAAAGAGTAGAAAAAGAAGAATGCGTTAAGAAAAATGCAATAATTTTGAATATGAATTAACATGAGACAAAATATAATAATATGAAGTTGATTATAAATGGCTGATGAAATATATAATTAGATGAAGTAATTTTAATTGAAAAAGTGTATAATAATAATAATAATAATACTAATACTAATAATAATAATAATAATAATAATAATAATGATAATAATAATAATAATAATAATAATAATAATAATAATAATAATAATTGGATTAGATATATACAAAAACTGGATATTAAGAATTTCATTTGAGAATTTGCATTAGATATATACACAAACTATTTAAATTAGCAAAAATTAAAGGGGAAAATAACACAATCAACACAACTAAACCAAGTCACACAGCAAAGGACTGGATATGAAGAATATTATTTGAAAATTTGCTTTAGATATATACAAAAACTACATAAATTAGCAAAAGTTAAAGGGAAAAATAACACAATCAACACAACCAAACCAAGCCACACAGCAATATATTTTATGAACATACGAACAACACAAATCAAGACCAAAAGCACAAATATCCACATCAAATCAACCGACTTCGTTTCGCATGCATAGATGCAGTCTCCATATCCCCAATGAAGAAAAGTATTTTATCAAGAATACTACTCGAAGGCGTTTTCTCCTCGACTACGGATTCGTCTTTTCTATCGTGAGATGACTCGTAAGTTCGCGATTCTGCTTGTCTCGAACCGAGATGCCGTTGAATCTCACCTTGGTGGACCAACAAATAGTCATCTCCTTCCCTTATTATCTTCAAGCCTCTGAAATCAAGACAAGAAAAGCAATCATTTTGAACGAGATCAAGAGAATAACGAACAAAACTCCCTTGAGGTTTGGTCCAATTACAAACAAAGCTAAGCTAACTATCAAAATATATACGGTTGTGTTTAGTAAGCATATAAGCCAACTTATAGCTTATTTGATTAGCTTATAAGTTTTCTATATTCAAATAAACTTAATTGATGAACTTTTTTAGACACCTCGAGCATATCTCATAAGCTTCCTTGGGTAGCTTTTCAATTAAGCTTATTAAATTTTTATTTCAACTGGCCTATCAGCTAATTATACCAAACACTTTTATAATATAAACTGGCTTTTCAGCTATAAGCTGAAATTCACTTAAAAACTAGAAGCTAGCTTATCTGGTAGGTTTAGCAAACATAACAAGATTACCCCCAAGGGTTAATTTAAACTTAAAATCCTTTCCGGTTTTACATAGCAAACGTTTGCTAACAGTGACAGTATTTTTATTTTATTGACCAACAAATAGTCATTTCCTTCCCTTATTATCTTCAAGCCTCTGATATCAAGACACAAGTATCACGATGAACGACAAAAACGAACAAATGCCCTCGAGGTCTAGTCTAATTATAGACAAAGCCAAGCTAACTATCAAAATTCAAAATATATACAAAGATTACCCCATTTCAGTTTTCAAACTCGAAAGTCGAAACTAAGGCTTAACTTTAAACTTTTAAAATCCTTTCCGGTTTTACATAGCAAACAATGACAGTATTTTTTTCACGTCGACGAAAATCAGAAACACAAAAACCAAATAAACCAATGCAAATTATGCGATATAACTCACAATCCAACTCGTTCACAACGGTCTTGAACAATGTAGACTTCTTTCCATAGTTTTGAATAGATTGGGGCATAGAATGTGGCTCGATCGGTGCCCCATCTTTCTTTGAAGAGATTCAACCATAAATTGTCGTCCGAGGCTAAGTCCCTCCATTTCTTGCAGACTTGGACCATAAAAGCAAGCATTTTATTCATTTATTTTTATNTTTGACTCTGACCTAATTGAGCAGCTGCAGTTCAGGAAAATATAATTTAATCCCAGAAAATCACAATTGAAAAACACCCAATTTCTCCATACAATGAAATTTGAAAGTCGCAATTACAAATAAATAAATAAATAAATAACTGAATTTTGAGACTGACCTAATTGAGCAGCTGCAAGATTCTGATGATCCAACCAACAGAAAATTTTCAGAAAAATATCAGCCGGCAGTTTATCCATTATCCTAACTGCATCGGCTTCGAAAAACTACTAAAATATATGTGATTTGGAATTTCAAAGCCCTGACTTTTTCTTTCCAGATATATAAATTATGTGCTCTGTTCGTGGATTTTGTTGTTTCAAGTTATTAACTCTAGAAAGTGTAATTTCTATCGTTTCTATCTGACACGTGTCGTGGCCTTGTTGATAGAGGGTTCGGCCCAGTCAGAACCGCACGAGTCTTGAACCCGCCTTTGGTTTTACCAGGGCCCGTTTAGGTTCATACAAAATAAAATTTTGTGATCGGCCAATTTTGGAACCGATTAAATCTGAACCGTTGTTTTTTTTTTTTACTCTTGGAGATCAACGACCCATTTTTTTTAAAATTATACGATTCAAGGCCTCGGGCCGATTCAGAAACTAAATCTGAAATCGTGTGATCCAACGGTCTTGAACTCGACCGTTCAATCAATTTGACAAGTGAGATCCAATGGTCATATTTAATTTTAATCGTATGAACCGTCGATTCAATAATAATAATAAACTGGTTTTGTTTTTGTTAAAAATACCCCACATCTCCTTCTGAAAATTCATAGCTTACTCACTTTCTTAATCTCTTATCTTGCTATATTCTCTAATTTTATTTCTGATTCTAGATAAATTCAGCCCTAGTTCTATAAATTTCTTCCCTTTCCAGATTTGATTCTATAAATTATTTAGATAATACTCACTCATTTATAATCTCTAGATAATAGTTTATCATTCCGATCATTGTCACCCCTTATTTTTGTTTTATTTACTCTATTTTAGTTATAAAATGTTAAGTACTCGTGGTCGTAATGGACTTGGAGGACGACCACCAATGTGAAAAATGTAGCATTTACGAGTAGTCAACCTCCATTGTCTACGCGACGATATACCCAGACGTTCCGAGTCTAGCCAATGACATGGAGCTAGGGAGATCCAACGCATCTTTAAATATATTGAAGAAATACACGCTAACTTACAATTTGGGGGAGGACAAACAAATGTTATTTTTTAAAATGCGTCTTTTCAAATGTTGTTGAGTGGTTGAAAGAAGACCGAACAAATGGAATAAACGGCCATGCCAACTACCGAAGAGGATGGCGAAAAGTTGGATGATTTTACTAGTACTAGTGGAACTAGCAAAACCAAAAGCGGCAACCATGGCTATGATTACTAGATCGTTCAACACATCATATCATCTTCTTTTTTCAAGGTAAGTATAGTAAGCGAACTATGAGGACTTTGATTATCAAGGTAACAGATACGTAGACAGTTAGAATATACACTTGTGAGTTGTCCCACATCGTCTATATAGGGAAAATAGGTCCAACTTTTAAGTTTAGTGGGCTACTCCTCCTACCACCAATTAGTTTTGGGATGGAACTTCACTTGGGCTTCATTTGGACTTCTCTGCTTTGGTGCGCTTCGTCCGTGGGACCGCACCCGTCAACCCCCGTTTGTCATGGTATCAAAGCCGGTTCACCCAGCCTAGTTGGGCTTGGGACTTCGTGGGACCGTGCAATGATGTACCCGTCACCCAGCCCAGTTGGGCTTGGGCTTCCGAAGGACTCACAAGTGAGGGGGGATGTTAGAATATACACTTGTGAGTTGTCCCACATCGTCTATATAGGGAAAATATATCTAACTTATAAGCCTAGTGGGCTACTCCTCCTACCACCAATTGGTTTTGGGATGGAACCTCACTTGGGCTTCATTTGGGCTTCTCCGCTTTGGTGCGCTTCGTCCGTGGGACCGCACCCATCAACCCCCGCTTGTCATAGACAACTTATAAGTTAAAACTACGAAAAGTGAACAAGCGTACCAAAAATAACCCTAAACTTGCCCGTAGACACGTCTAGCCATGGAAGGTGCTTCTCAAGGGAGACAAAAGATTAGGGTTTGTTTGTTAGAGAAGTCTTTTAATGGCCATGCGAGTTGTAGAGCACGTGGTATAAATGAATGCATACAAGACATCCATAACAAGTAAATTTTTTTACTTTGGGCTTATAGATAGAAAAAGAAAGAAGGCTTATTTACATATTTACCTTAGTGATTGATAAATATTTGTAAAAATACTAACTACAAAATTTATTTGCAAATATACCTACTTGACCATAAAAAATTATATCAATGCCAGATGTGTAACAGATTTGGATAATCTCTTGACTTACGGGATTCTTCTATAAATGAAAAAAAAATTATATACGGTAAGCTAGATGTAAAATTAAGTTGAAGATAGAATCCTTAAAAACAACATTTCAAATTTGAATTAAAAAAATCAGTTTATGTTGAATATAAACTGATTTTATACATAAAAATTATGTCTCGCGATAAATTTTTTTTATCATATGCCGAAATATACATAATATAAACCATACATATACACAAAAAAAAAGACAAAAAAAATCAATATATGCTTGTCAATTTCGTTTCAACAGAAAAAATATTTTAATATACCAAACATAAACTATGATAAACATTGAAAACATAAAAAACAAACATTCATTCAAAAACTAATTTATACATAAGCTAATATACCAAACATAAACTAAGATGTACAATAATTGTACCTATCCCAGTATATGTACATATATTGATCATAAACTAATTTCAATGTACAGACTGATCTGGGGATTTCAATGTACTGACCAATTACAGAGTTCAAAAACCCTAAAAAAATTGAAACAAAATATTGATTTTTCTACAACACCTCCCGGCGGCTCCTCCTCTTCCTCTTCCGGCCCCTCCACCACCTTCCCGCTCCCCAACCGGAATGGTCTCCTACTCCCATTCTTAAAACAGAAAACTCCATTACCTTGGCATAGAAACCGGATCTCCGTTCTCCGCCGCCGATCCCTGATTTCTCCGCCGTCTTTCCCTCCGTCCCCGGTGGATTCGCGCGAAGCCAGCCGCTCATCGACCGGACTCTCCCTATACACGAGACCTTCGGTGAACCCGATTCGGCCTCCGTAACCGTCGTTTTTTTCTGTTTGGGGGAAAAGCCCCGCGTTCGTGGCCTTGCAGGTCCTCCACTTCGAATCGGCGAACGCCGCCTTCTGAGTCTACACCGCTTATGTGCATCCACACCGGCGCCGCGATTGGGGGGTCACCGGCTATGGGAGGGATCTTGGTTTTGGCCATAAAAGTGAAGGTATGGTTTACTGAAGAGAAACATGCTTTGAGGGGGTAATCGGTTTAGTCATGGGAGAGATAAAGAGTAATAATGTGTGATTTTAGGGAGTTAGTTTTGATTTTTTATTGGTAACTGTATCTAATCAATCTATATTAATTGTCTAGTATATATGCAAATAAAGTTTCATGATTTTGTAATTATGCTAAAGTTTATGTTCGAACGTATAAGTGCAAATAATTTGCTGTTAAGTCGTTCCTATATAATTTCCTCAAGAAAAAAAAGGAAATTGCTGGGGCCAACTCCAAGGCCCAATGAGAACAATAAGAACTGATTTCTTTGCTACTAGTACGGTACCCGTGTGATGCATGGGAGCATTTATTACCCATTTATTTTTTAAAATGTATTTTTATATTTAAATTGTCTCATGCCATTAAAAGTTTCATGAAAATGAAATTTATATGTTATTAAACACTTCCTTATGTACAACATTATTGATTTGATTATTTGGCACGTAAAGTACTACATAGGTGTTCGAATTTATCCAAAATTGCATATTATTAGTTATTAGTTAACAAATTTTAAAAAAAATTAAAGGATCTTATTTATTAAACAAAATTAAAGTAGAATTTTTTAGGGATTTTCACATATTACTTATTTTAAATCTAATTCTAAATTTCGATTAAGAAAAATTGAAAAGAATCATTAGTTACTCTTAGAAATGAAACCGATTTTTCTACTAATAAACCGATTTTTTTATCAAACAAATTGATCCGATTTTTTTTCAAACCAAATAAAAGAATTATCAATTTTTCCTAAAAATACAACTGAATTTTCCTAATATTGCACCGATTTTTGTACCAAACAAATTGAATTGAAAATAATTCTAATAAAAAATTGAAATAAATTGTTAATGTTTATGCAACTGTATATTTCCTAAAGAAAATGATATGAACTTAACAAAAATAAATAATAAAAAATGATATGAACTTACCGAAATCTCAGTAAAACATGGTTAAGAAAAAACATAAGAATCCAAAAAAATTGATGCATTTAAATTTTGAAAAGTTGCACACAATTTTTCCTAAATAATTGAATAAGGTAACTTTAAGTATCAATGATGAACCGCTTTTGTTACCAAAGAATGTGGACACAATTTTGAATGTACATCCCGTCCAAATATCAGTTTTATTTTAAAATAAAATTGTACGGCTTTATCCAATTTACACAATTTTTTTGAAAGAAAAAATTATTCAATAAGATTGGAAGAATTGGTTAAGAATTATACAACTATTTGCTTCCAAAATTTGTATTCAGTTTGCATGGTTTTTAAATTAGTTTGTATTTAGAATTGTTTTCATAAATAATTGACATATTTTTTGCATAAGAATCTCTAAATTTGTTACAAAAAAAAATATGATTTAAATTTTGGTAAAAAAATAAAATATGATACGAAAAAAATAAGATTTAAATTTTGCCATAAAAATCTCTAAATTTGTTACCAAAAAAAATAGGATTTAGATTTTTTACTAAATATTCACTTGTGTTTTTTTAACTTTTCATTAATAGTAAGTCAAACATTATATTTATTTGATCAAACTTTATATTAATGTATTTTTCCAACAACTTTTTTATATATATATAGATATAGATATAGATATAAATATAGATATAGATATAGATTTGGTGGCCCAATAAGCCCGAACCGGTAGAAAACCAGAGATGGTCAAAAAACAACTCATCTAAAACTAACAACTCAACCACAATCTTCCACAAGTTGTGAATGGAACCCGGAATTTATCTCGTTAACTCGGATGACTCGCCCGAGTTCACTCACTTCCGGCAGGCGTTGACTCATTCATCGGCCATCGGCCTCGACGCGGAGTGGAAGCCCAACCGCCACGCGTCCACCTTCCCCACCGTCTCGCTCCTGCAAATCGCCTGCCAGCTCGTCAGCTCCGCCGGGTCGAACCAGGGCAAGTGCCCGGTTTTTCTCGTCGATCTCCAAGCGGTTCATCTGCCGTCTGTGTACGAGCTGCTGAGAGAGGTGTTTGTGTCTCCTGATGTTGTAAAATTAGGGTTTAGGTTCAAGCAGGATTTGGTTTATTTGTCGTCTACCTTTTGTCAGCTGGGATGCGAACCTGGTTTTGATAGGGTAAGACATTTTGTTCTTGGTGTTTCGAATTATACTTACTGTGAAATTTTTGTCTGAATTTTCTAATGCAGTGAAAAATTTGATTAAATGGCTAGATTAGTTAGTTAGCTCCTAGAATCAATGATGTTTGCTACAGAAAAAATAAAAATAAAAATAGAAAAGAAATTATGGATAAGTGGTCTGACCATGGACAGTTGTAATTAGAGAAATTTGCAGGAATTTGAGCATGGTTAATGAGCATTGTTTGTTGTAACCATGCTCAAATTTAATTCCGGGAAGTGCCCTGATATGCTTGGATCAAGTTATTGATGCTTTTATTAGGATAATGGAATAATTCCAGCGTGGTTAATCGAGCATTGTTTTTAACCATGCTTGAGTTTTATTCAGGTAAGTGTCCTAATATGGCTGGATCAAGTTATTCATGTTTTTATTTGGATAATAGAATAAGCAATTGTGGTTTTGCTCAATATCAAATTTTTTATACCTCATAGGCATGTGAGAATTTTAGATGATTTATGTGACGTTATGAGGTATGAGCTGCATGGACTTGGTTTCGGGATGAATTTGTATCATATTTCAGCTGTGTGCAGTTTATGATTTTGAAAAGAGTTCACTAGTGAAGTGGATTATAGTCTTGTGTATATTTGCAGTTATTTTCGTTGAAATTAATCAAATAATTGGTGTTGTCAAGGTTGAACCTTTTATTGATATTACTGCCATATACAACTATCTGCAACCAAAACAACCCGCACGAAGAATACCAAAACAGATCAAAAGCTTAGCGACAATCTGCCAAGAAGTTTTAGGAATTTCCCTCTCTAAGGTTTGTACTTCGAATTCCATTACCTCACATTGTGAAAAATGATGTGTAGTTCTAAATTTGGATTGTATTTGTTTTTTTCAAAATGCGTTTTGACTAAGTGTGCGCATTACATTTGTGATAAGGAACTTCAATGTAGTGACTGGTCACAACGCCCTCTATCAGAAAAGCAGAAAGCATATGCTGCCGAAGATGCTCGTTGTTTGCTCGATATATTTAACGTGTTCCATGCAAAGGTTGTTAGAGAAGGTTGAAACTTCTTTATTTCAAATAAAAAGTATAGAATAGTGTTTCAGTTTGTTGTGAAAACTAAAAACAAATAATTTAAAGAATTATAATTGTTACATTTTCATCCTTTTATGGTGCTTTTGTTGATCTTCTTGGATGCGAAGTGCAGGAAATTCTTATCTGAATCAGAATAAACTCGAGCCATCTGGTCCCGATCCTGGATTAAAACATATTTTTGATACATCAAATGGTTGTAACTTGGTAACACGGACCAAATTTTGCGAAGCTTCAAGCATGATCTGTGTATCTCTGCCCGAGAGTTCAGATTCCACCAAAATTACCGCACAATTAGATGGTAACCTTTCGTGGATTGTTAGGAAGCACGGTGACAAAATCTTGTTGAAGGATGCGGATAGAAAGCCCAAAAATTCAAAAAAGAAAGCTAAAAAGCTTCATCCCGGTTTAGAGCATAAACAAAAGGTACTTGACAATTTAGAAGATTGGCAAGGACCCGCTCCATGGGATCCGTCTATAGGAGGTGATGGATGCCCCAAGTTTTTATGTGATGTGATGGTATGCCTAAATTTCATCCACTGTTTAGTTTAATGCATGTTATATTATTAAGTGAGATGAATGAATCATCTCTACTGATAAGTGAGTTGAATTTTGTAAATATTGCAGGTTGAGGGTTTGGCGAAACATTTACGTTGTGTCGGGATAGATGCTGCAGTTCCATATTCAAAGAAGCCCGAAACTAGGTATGACTGCCCATAATAGCTTCAATAAGCGCATAGTATCTGTTGTTGT